CTACAATTTCTTATGGAAATATATTCATTTAATAATTATCAAGTTTTGCATTTTCTAAGGAATTTTTAATTTTTACCATTTTTGTTGTTTAATAATTTATAATTATTTTTTGAGAAAATTAATATATTTTTGTTTTTTATTTCACTAAAGGCGATTTCTTACTTTTTATTAATTTTTATTAATATTTATTAATTTTTATTAATTTTTATTTTATTTTTATATTGCAATTATTGAATATTTTTGATTTTTCATTAAGTAGATTGAATTTTACCCATTTAGATAAAATAGGGCACACTTATTATATAATTTATGCGCAACTGGTCCAGAATATTAAAGGGTAAAGACCATGTAATTATTAGACAATGAAAGGGTAAAGTGAGAAACCTGCAGTTTACCTCAACAATAACTGTAAAGTGTAATTCATTAAGGGGGTGAATTCTCACGTTTCTACACTGAACAAAAATTTATTTGATTCAAATAATCAGATTATTAAATAAATATAATTGAAATAAATAATTTTTATTTGAATTAAATAAACTGTATTTGAACCAATTATTTCTGTATTTAAAACAAATATCTTGGCTCAAAAAATTATTTGCCTATTTATTTGCTACTAAAGTAACTGATTATTTTAATCAAATAAATTTTTTTAAGTACAATATAAATTATAAATTCTACTAAATTAAAATTTGAATTATTTTAGAAACCAAAAACAGTTGAGACAATTAAAATGAGATAAAAATTTATAAGTAGGTCATGACCTAATTTTTGTAAATTATTTTTGACTTCATTGACTGAACGCAACAAATCGAATATTTATTTATATATTTATATTTAACTTTCAACCCCTGTTTAAATATTTTCCATCTAGTTATTTTCACATTTTCAAAATAACATTAGTTTAGGATATTTTTGAATTGACTTTGAAAACAGCAAATCTGGAGGACTTTTGACTTTCTGTTTGGTCTGTACTCCGAAGGTCATTTTCAAAACCGGTAAGGGTTAAAGCTGCCGTATATATTTAAGAGAGTAAAGATTAAAAGATTTCGACAATTACGGTAGAATTTTATTTTTTTTTTTTTCTCTTTTTTTTGCTTGTTATTTTTAAGTCTTTAAAAGCTACTTCTACTCAACGAAACAAATAGAGATCGGTCGATAACCCTCAAGTCTATAAGTCCTAGGATCTGTATAGTTGAAGAGAGCTTGTGAAACAAGAATGCAAAGTTTTCTCTCTCTCCTTTTTTTTCTCTGTGTGTGCCCCGTTGAAAGATATTCAGGATTCAGGTACGTTGGCAATGTTTCTCGAGTTTATAATCTAGTCCAGAATGGCATAAAGATAAAGTAGTACAGTTGCAGTAGTACAAACGTTTCGAATCTTTCTCTCTCTTTCTTTATATATATATATTTATATGTATATATACCTGAGCACGGTCAATTCTGTAAAACCTTCCAGGAATGAAAGTCTTGTTTTAGCAACCAATTTTCTAAGTTAGCTTACATCCCACAATTAGGAAATAAAAATAAATAAAACTTTTATAAGACTCCTTTCAATGACTCATTTAGTACCTCATATATTTCTCTCATAAAATCATTATCTTGGACTTTCAAATATTTTCCTACTTTTTGATTCACTTCAAAATGATTGAATTTTAAGTTTTAATTATCCTGAACTAGTCATTGATTTTAATTATAAGTTTCTTTTTTAGTCGAATGAAACAATTTCTATTTAAATTAATTTCAAGTGACTCAAAATGTACCTAACGATTCAAATATGTAATTTGGTTAGATTAGAATTTTCATTTTTCGAATTTGAATTTGACACAATTTCTCATTAAACAAATTTTTATTGTACAGAAGTCTTAAAACGCCGAATTTTTATTTGTCCGAAATTGCAAATGGCCAAACATTCGATTTTGGTACGTTTTTAAAATTGACCTATATCAAAAATTGTCAAGAAAATCGTGATTGGTTAATTTTAAAAAAACGCGCCGAAATCCTTTCTGTTCATTTTTTTGTTCCGCCATTTGCATTTCAAATCAAAATTCTAACCAATGATTTTTATAGGATAATCATGCGCTCCATATTTGCTAGAAAACTAACCTCAAAAAATTTGCTTTATTGATTACAAATTTTCTATAAATATGAAGAAATTGTTAAATAATTATATTTTAAAAGCAACTTATTTTTTGTGCATTAAATCTGAATAATAAAATTTGCGATAATATTAATAAATATCATGTTACTTAAATAGTAGTTTAAATATTTTTTATTTTATTATAAAGGGTGTCGTTCACTGTTTTCATATCATATTTTAAATTAATATTCTAAACTCTTATCAAAGTATTTTTTAATTTTAAAACTTATGTACTATAAATTTTAACCCAAATCTTTTATTTGAAATTTATTTTATAACTAAATTTTTAATAAATGATAAAATGTCATTTAAAGTTGAAAGTATTATCAAAAAGTCGTGTCACTGTACTCGTTACTCTATTTATTCTAATTTTTTTAAAATATTTCTTTAAATAGAAATTTAATAAAAATTCCAGTAAATTATTATTGCCCCCCATACGAATGAGATTAAAAAAAAATTATGTCAAATAAAAAATAAATATCAAATGAAAATTGGGTCAAGTGACGAGTAGGCCAAAATGAAAATTATAGGTTAAACCAAGGTTCTAAATACGAATTAGGTCATATTATCAAATTTAGGTCAAATATGTAAATTTGAAAAAAAATAAAATTTTTAAAAATTATATAAAAATTCTACAATGAAGAAATTTGGATAAATTAAAATTCTATTTAGGCCATTCGATCAGCCTAACGGATTTTTTATTTTTAATTAAAAAAAGAAAAATACATTCTTTTATTTAGTTTTTTGTTTAGAAAAAGCTTAATTAATTTTTTTCGCTAATTTTTGTTTTTTTTTTTGTTTTTCTAATTTGTAGTTTCGTTCTGCTTCTAATTCTTTGCTCTGTATCCTTCGTTCATTCTTGGTATTCATATTTATATTATATTCTCAAGAGATAGAAAATAGCCGAGGTATATTTTCCTCGTAATTGGTTACTGAAAGCAATTGTTCGAAAATTGCGATTGTTTATGAGCAAAGAGCGCGAAGAAAAGTCGTGGCTCATGACTGAGACGTGCAGATGCTAAACTTGTAGCTACACATATATATATATATATATATATATTTATATATATATATATATATATATATATATATATATATATATATATATATATATATATATATATATATATATATATATATATATATATATATATATATATATTTGATGAAAAATTCAATATTCACACTTTTATTCTCATATTAACTTTCCCTATTGTTCTCTTTCATAAATAATAATTATACGCGATTTTTTTTTTTTGGACTTTTTTTTGTGAAGGAAAAAATATTGAGATAGAGAGAGAAAGATAAGAAATATATTACTTTTATACCCTTACTTTCCAATATCTGAAATCTCATCTAAACTATCGGGTTTTGACATGTTTCAACCACTCGAAACGAAACTCTCAGGTAATTTACCTGAGTCCTTATTTCCCCCTCCACTTTTTTCCTTTTTGACAAAATACATTTTTGACCTGCAAAAATTTTCCTCAATAGTTTCCGCATATACACGCATTTCCGTCCGGAAGTTAAGCCAGTCTCTCTTGGGATTGGGAAGAGTCATGTACTCTTATCTCTCTCCTCTCTTCGAATTTATTTAAACTCTTGTGACTATTCAAAAAGTTTACAAACATTTTTTTGTAATATTACATTTTTTTTTTGCATTAAATTTGTGTATTATTACATTTTTGTTGTTTTTAAAAAAACAGTTGTTGGAAGTAATTTGTGATTTTATTGAGTTTTGTGCAAAATTAGTTGGAATTTTACAAAATGTACACGGTTTTATATTTTCACCCGGTGAGTTTTTTTTTTTTTAAATTATTATTTTAATTTAAAAAAATTTTTGTATTTTTATCATTTAAATAAAAGTGAGAACAATATAAAACTTGAGAAATATATTTATATAAAATCTCATAGATATTTAGTGAAAGTTAAAAATAATTGAAAAGTGAACAATAATCTTGTGTGTTTTTGTTCCATTCACCCACCGCGGCCTTGAATGTTAAAAAAAAAAAGAAAAAATTTGCGTCGATTGAAAATGTGTAATAGCCTTACATATTTTATGAGTAATTCAACATTTCAGTATATTCGACGTAATAAATATAAATTAAAACATTATTACTCCTGCGATAGAGAATTATGATATAGAGAAATAATATTACGTTGGAAAGGCCTGAACCTTTTAAATTATCATCTATAAACCGTTTAATATCTTAATTTTCAATAATTCATTACAAAAATTATTTCCAAATTCGATCAATAAAGTATCTATAATAATTTTCCAAACGTTTGGTAAATAAACTCAATTTTAGGTAATTAAGTAGTTAATTGTTTTTTTTTACCAAACGATGTAAAAAGTATAAATTTTCTTTGGAATTTCTAAAAGTAAATTATTTTATTTTTATTACTTCTTTCAATAAATCACTCAAAAATTTTGCATCCGTCTCTCTCTCTTCAGGAAGTTAATTTCTTACAATAGAGATTTCACTTTTCATGCCGAAACTTTTATTTTTTGCCGAAATATGTATTTCTCAAGGAACAATGTTTTTACGGGGAAAAACTTTCTTTTACTAAAAAAGGGAATATGAAATTAAGGAAGTAATTTCATAATTCTTGCATTTGAATTTTATAAAAATCAAAGAAGATTTACAGTAATATTAAAATTCTTTATTGGCTGTTTTTCTAAATTTTCCAAAAAAAAATTTAGAATAAAAATTCAAAATTTCGAACAATTATATTTAGAGAATTAATTAATGGAAATAAATATTGAATTAATTTTTTTTATATTTGATGTTTTGTTTCAGAAAGAGAATTAATTAATGAAAATAAATATTGAATTAATTTTTTTATTTTTGGTGATTTTTTTTAGAACTCGGTGTCCAGTTGCTGTAGCAGTGATAGCGATGAGGAGCCAGTCACGAAACAACCTCGACTAAGCCGAAGGCAATCGCGAGAATCTGGAAGGGAAGGTGGTGTTAGTACTTCAGGGCAAAATGCTCATTCGACACGCTCATCAGGACGAACAAAACGCGTCAAAGCATTAAGACACTGTCCCTCATCTGACCCCGGTACTTGGAAAGGTGACCTTTCGGACAGTGATGTTTCTTCAGAGAATCGATTCATTGACGATGGCTCCTACTTTGAGGTAGGTGCTGGTGTTACTTTTCTCATTTTCATTATTTTCCTCTCTTTCGCTTTTATTGGATCTTAATAGCCGAAGAGGAACCATTATAACCCTTTTACTACAATGTAGTGCCTTTCAATTCTTGTCTTACTTTGTATAAAATCCTTTTAAAAGTAAAAGTAGGTTTTCACTCCAGCCCTTATAATTTTTATTGCACGTTCGTCGTTGGTTTCTCCGTGCCTGAAAGGAGAAATCCTTTTCCAGGACCCCGACTGCGTTGCACATGCACTGATTTGCATATGTCGATAAGATCCTGTCTGTTGTATCTACGACAGCGACAGTCTATTAAAACACACTCCGCGAAAATAAGAAGCAAACCTTGCATAATACTCGATTTATTGACATTATAAAGAAAGTGAAATTTAATTCAAGTATTGAAAATTTATTGATTATATTGTTTTACAGGATGATTTGGACGAATTGTGTGTGATGGAAACAAGTGTCGATGAGATAAAAAATTATAAATTTAATCGAATTGCACTTGATTCACAAGGAGACGAGGGTGATAACGAGGACGCTGACACAAGTCAAGAAATAAAAACAAAAATCGAAATGGCACCAACTCCTGATCCAGTTTCCGTAACTGCGCGAACATTAATCAGTATTGCTTGTGATGAAATTGATGCTGGTAAAAATATCCACGCTGAAATGAATGAACAAGAAATAGTTTCATCGATTCAAACACCTTTGCGTCGAAAGGGTTTCGAAGAAACAGCTCCTTTTAACACGTAAGAAATATTATAAATTATAATTATATTATTTATAATATAATTTTTTTTTTTTATTAATGAAATATTTTCCCTCGACAGATCAAATAGAAAATCGAAGAATTGCGCGACATTTTATTTCAAGCATCGTGATACAGATTCAGAAGCCGATGGTTCAGTGGAAATGGAAGAATCGTCAAATGTTGTTGATGTTGTTTCATCGGAAGACGAATGGACGTACACAAATTCCCGTACGGAACAAGTGACGTGTCGAAAGACAAATGTTAAAATTTCCTTGGATTTTGATGAGGAAGTCGAGGACAAAGATAATAAAAATGATGTTCAGTTATCGAAACAACAAACTCCAATTAGTAAACGTGGAAATGAAAAATGGAATTGTGAAAAGAAGGAAATTGTAAGTGATGACGAATTGAGTCAGGATAAATATAACATTCATCGATTAGTTATGGAAGTGGAAAAACTTGTTCGTGAAGAGGGGCGAGTTACACCGTCGAGGACCTTAACACCTCTCATCTTTGAGGATCGCAAAGGCGGCGACATAAACAGTAATCGTGCAAAATACGCTCGAATTCGCGAATGGCTCAAGCTCAATTCAATGGGGAAATATGATGAGAAATCTAATTCTGAAGTAAGTCTCACAAAAAAAGATTTTTATTTTTTAAATTAATATTTTTATGGAATGAAGACTAATTTCTTTTTTTTGATTTTTTTCCAGTATCGATCTTTGGATAGTTGTGATGCAAGTGGCGAATACACAACAGGCGAATCGGACATTGAAAAGCAATCGATTTCATCGGAAGATTTACACAGCAGTGTCGCAACTTATCGACGACTCGATGGCTATTTGGGCTGTGTGTCACAATCAGTGTCGCAGGAAATTTTCGATTCCACTGACAACAATACATCGGTTAATGAATGTCATCAAACATTATTGCCAGTCGATACAATCACAAGTACACCGAAAGTTGTGCTTCGTTCAAAGAGAAAGACAAATGGCCCACGACCATGGAGTGTGTCTTGCATTACACAAATCAGAAACAATTCAAATGCAAATGAGGGCAATGACTCAATCTCACAATTCTCCATCTCGGAAACTGCCCTCCATCAGCTTGTTGCTTCTTCGCCTATCAAATCCTCTTCTTTAGATGCATCGTGAGTTCAATTTTTTTTAATTTTTCTTCTCTTATTAATTTAATTATTGAAATTAGAGATTTATGAATTTTTTAATTATAAAAATAATTCTCAAAATTTGTCATTTATTGAAGAATATAGAAATGTAATTAAAAATTTTCTTTGGTACATTTTTACATTTTTCATCAAAAATTTCAATGAAAACTAATTCTCAAATTTGTATAATTATTATTGTGGACAAAAAAGAATTGTACAATTTTTAATTTTAAACTTGAAAAAAGCTATGAATAATTAAAAAAAAAAAATTTAATAATAATTGCAGAGGATCGTCGGCTCTATTCAATAAATCAACGTCAACGCTACTTGAGGAAACTGTAAGCGGTCAAGATGCAAGGACAATAAGGACAAGTTCACTTCGTCGAAGAAAAAGTAGATTGCGCAAAAAAACTGTGAGTCGTAAAAGTGAATCTGGATCAGATGGTGTTAATGTACATCAAACATCGGGTAGCAGTGATGTAAGTTCATCAAATCATCATCAGTGTTCAAAAAAATTGACATCCTGCCGTGCAACAACAACGAGAACAATAGCACGTGATTCACATGGACGTTTAACGACTCTTGTTAAATCGGGATCATTCTCTGGTTCACTGGGACAACAGGAATTGATTTTAACTGAGAAAATTACAGTCAGCGATCCCGTTCCTGCACTTCGTTTAACTTACTGTCAATCGAATTCTTCGACTTCCGACACGGAGGAGGAAGATGATACTCATTGCAATCGTGGCAAGGAACACTCGAACGCTCTCAATGTTGACAGCGATGTCGAGAAAAATAGTCTTGGAAATATTTCATTTTCCGAGCAAGCTTGGGATAATTATCAGGTAATTATTAAGTAATTTTATTGTTTCTATTATAATTTTTAAAAAATGATTCTTTTTCGAAAATTAAATTTTCTTTTTTTGTAAATGTTTTAGGAGAAATATATGAGCGAGCCTTACAGCGAGACACCGGACCTCGATGCGGCTCGTCGTCTCTTGGACTTTGGAGACGATTATAGAAACTTTCTTGATAGTCAATCAGATTGCGCGTCTAGTATGAGCGCGATTCGCGACTATTCCTCGCCAATTCCGAGAAGGCGTATCAAAGTACGTTCCTTTATGATGTTCTTTTTTGATCGTATTTCGATATTTTTCCTTTGACACACGAGAATGGATTTCTGTGATTTGTTAAGAAAAAAAAAAAAAATTGTGACTTAGCATAGACAAAAAAAATACAATTCCCATCGACTTAATTATGTTTTAATGATTCTAAAAAAATTATATTCCTATTTTTTCCCTTTAGTTTAGTTAACTATTTTTTTCAAAAACTCGAAATAGCTTTCATTAATCAAGCTTTATTTTTTTTTTAAATCAGAATTAATATTCTCGCAGTTTCGACTAACTGGCATGAAACTCTATTTTTTCTCTATCTTTATGCTTTGCTTTATACGAAAACTCTTTTTTTTTACAGACTGCCGTGACTGAAGACAGCGACAGTGACGTTGAGGACTTGTGCAAATTGTTTAAAAAGTCACATTGTCAACTGATTCACGCTGAAAATTGTGTCATGAAAAAGGGACATCTCGTAGGACATGAATGCGTATGTATCCAATTCGCGAGATTCATTCATAAAATTATTAACTTTTTTCAATTTTTATCACAATTATTGAATAAAGTTAAAACATCATTGTACAAATTTATAAAGCTTCCCCTTCGCTTTTGTGGCAAAATTATTAACACAATTGGCTCTTCAGTGGCAAATATGTTTAGATTTTTATAAGCAAAAAAAGAAAGAAAAAAAAAACATTGTGATATTAGATATTAAGAAATTAATTCTTTTGCAAGGAAACAAATTTTTTGCTTTAATTATTTTCAACTGCGTATTTTTAAAATACAGAGATTTGAGAATTATTATTTTAATTTGTATTAAAGATAAAGATTTGTTTATAAAATTATAATTAATTTTTCTTCTTCGAATTTACAAAAATTAAAAGTAAAGAATAAATTTTTTTTTTTAATTAAATTAAATTAACTTCAAATTTCAACATATTTGCTATTATTTATTAACAAATTTCCTTCGCTTTTATATATTAACTCTTAAAATTTTTCGTTATGTAAAGTTTTATTTATTATTCTTCTGTTTATCATCTTCGTACATATTTTAATTTTAAAATATTTCAACAAAGAAACAATTTTAATCTACGAGAAAATTAATAAATGTATGTACATAAGAAAAATTTTCCTGTTTCTTTGTATGAAAGATGTGTGAAGATGTGTATAATTTTTGTTTGCATGTTTAATTTGCTGAAGTATTGCTTTCACTGTTGTTTATTTGTGGCTATTTTGGAAACTTTAATTTCAAGCAGTATTAATAAAAATATTTAATATGATTCATTTTTAATTGTATTAAATATTTTTCTATAAATAATATTTAAATAATTTATTTTAATATATTTCTTAATTTAAAGTATTTTTTTTTTAAATCGTCGACATTTCCTATAATATATAGGAATTAGATTATAATGAAACCTTATACTAACTCCCCATCCTCTAAATATATAAATTCTTAATAGGAATTTAGTTTAAATAAATAAAAAATAAATAAAAATAATAAATATACAATAAAAGAAATATATAATAAAAAAAAAATAAGACTACTGTTTAGTTTTAGTGATATTAGGAAGAACATTAGTTAAAGGTCAATAGTCTTTTGACCCTTTTAATCGAGATATTAGTAGAAATAGATACCTTGTAACGAGAAAATGACGGATTGTGGGAACTAGCAGTTAAGAGGACTCTGATTTGGAAATGATCGCGTGGGCCAATGAGTGATGAAAGAAAAGTAACAGCTATTCGCGTGTTGAAAACCAATAAAACCGACAATCAATAAAACGATTTATAGGTGTACCAGAGAAATTTCGCAAATCCAAGAATATTATAGACACTATCCTGGCATAATGGCTTTCTGTCATGTCAGAATTTGTGTTTTAAATTTTTCGTCGATAGAGATTAAAACGAAAATTTTCAATTTATTCCACTACATATTATTATGTAGTTGATATTTTTTTTAATATATTTAATAGCAGTGCGTTTTTTTAAATTTTATATCGACGATTTATAAAAACCTACCATTAATTCTATCAGTGACAGTAAGTTAACATTTTCTTCGATTTTACTAGCATTAAATTAGTAATTATTCATTCGTCTTCTATATGAAAAAGTAAATATAATAAGTTACTTAACTTCTTTATTCAAATTAGAAATAAAAAAAAAAATCAAATCAATAATTGATTTATGAATTTAATTTTTTTTTAATTATAAATAAAAATAATTCTCATGCTAAATATTAATTTACTTCTGGTTTAGAGTATTAAGAAACTTGCAGTAATTCCAGTATAGTTTTTTTTTAAATCGTAGTTTAGTATTTTTTTAAAAAATTATTTAGTCCTAATTAGCTTTTAATATTTGCGTATAGTAGTTTAGTTCTAATTTAGTTATTGTAGCCGTGACTAACTCCTAATCGAAAAAAATACAGGTTGGTAGCGAATTATTTTAATTAAAGTAATTAAAAATATAATTTAATTAAAAAATAAATTATCTTAAAATTATAGTTTCCAATAGCCATTTTTCAAAATTTTTTTAAATTTTAAATTTGATAATTTTGAATATACATTTGCTAAATTTATTAATTTTTTTTTTGTTTTGTTATGCTTTATGAATGTCAAAAAATTTATAAAAAAAAGATTTTTTTTATGATTTAATTTTTTTCTAAACAAATTTATTGAATTTGCAGGGAGAGATAGTATGTATGTGCAGAGAGAATATAAAATGTCTTCATACAATTTTGGAATCTAGTGGAATTTCCCATCGTGACGACAAACACGGCAAGCAAATTCGTGGTGAGTACTAAAATAACAGATTTTAAATAATGCGAAGAAAATTCCAAATTTTTACAATAATTTTCCTTAGTTTTCGCCAGCAATTATTTTTTCCCCCTTTTTTTTAATAATTATATGAGCATAGTTTTTAAATTCATTTAAAATAAAATTTTAGAAGAACTAAAAATAAAATATATTTACAAAATATTTTTTTTAATCTAAAAAAAAAAAATTAATGGCAAATAATATTTTTTTAAATATTTATAAAAATTAGTTTTTTAATGTAAATGTAAATTGAACATTTTATTTTTATTATTGTTTTTAATGCGAGCATAAATTATGAATTTTTCGTAACTGAAAAATTTTGATGGGTATTTTATTTTTTACAATTTCAATTTATTGAAATAATAATGTTTTTATGAAATATGAAAATTATTTAAATAATTATTATTATTATGCAATTCGCATGTTTGGCAATAATTCAATAGAATATTTTTATAACTGTTTTCCATATTTGTTCATTGAAAATATGTAGACAATTTGTCATGTTTAGATAATTTATAGTCGAGTGAAGCGTTTTAGTAACTCATAACTGTATGATTGAGTGTTTAGCAAGTTCAATGTCCTTATGCATATTAGTAATCATGCGATTTTCACCTTGGCAAAGTGCAGGTAAATGAAAGGTATGCCACACACGTGCGTAATTTTTTTTTTTTTTTTTTTTCTTCATCCCGCAGCATCGTAATGGTAAAAACCATCTGTTTCAAATGCTTTATACGTCTTTTGATTACCTCATGAAACTAACTTGGATATATTCAGTAACAGGCAAATGCCTCTCTTCAATAACAAGTATGAAAGTCAATACTTTCCTCTTCTTTCCAACTGACCGCACTTCGCTGCTGCATAATCTTGTCGATTTACTTCTCTTTAAAAGCCGTCTGTTGGCAATACACGTTCAATTGCAGAAATTATCTTATCGTTTGGATTAAATATAAAAATATTCCATCGGGAAAGATTTTTTTTTTTTTTTAAGGGCGAGTTTTTCCCGCAGGAAAAAAAAATACTTCCTTTCTAAATTGAGTAGAATTTTAATTAATTTCTGTAAACTATTCTACAATTTTGAAACTGAGCGAAAAAAAGTTTTTTCTTTTAATTAATAATTATTTGTTCAACAATATTAATGATTAAAAAATTAATATTTATTATTAATAAAAATTAGTAATAAATTAATGGAATATTAATCAAAAAATTAATATTAATTTATTATTAATAAAAATTAGTTATAAATCAATAGAATATTAATTAATTATTATTAATAAAAATAGATTTACAAAAATGAATTATATGTAATAAAATTTTTTTTTTTTGTAGAAGAAAAATATTTTTGAGAGAAAAAGGAAATGAGAAAAAAAATTTTTGCTGGTGGGAATATACCGTTAAAAAAATAAAACTCAGATAGATATCGCGTTTTAAAAAAGAAATGTGACTGTATATATACTTGAATTGATATCATATAAGAAAAGTGAATGTGTAGCCAAAATCGTGTAGGAGGACGAGTGCCAGATCATTGCACCGGTATAAACGTTTCGTAAATCTTGTCTTATAAATACTGTTCCGCACAGATTTATTTAGCACAAGCTATATACTATTTAATCAATTATAAATTTCATTGAGGTAAAAACAAGTTTATGTTATAAAATTTCATTTAAATCTTTTAATAGAGAAAACAAAAGTGGTTTAAGCTGGTTTTCAAATTTTGACATTTAATTGACTTTATGTTAACAAATTTTATTAGTAGCTTATATTAGTTTCTTCTAATTAATCAATATTCTCATATAAAAAAAAAACTTTCAACAACTTTCTTGGAATAATATAATAATTCATAATTGACAAAAAAATTCTTTTTTCGAATTATTTTGATTTAGAACTATTTAATGCTGAAATATATTTCTCTAAAGTTTCTAAATTTATTTTTCTCTTTTTCTTCATTTTATTCTTTACATTTTTTTTCCATCTGTTTGTATTTTTTTTTTTGTTTTTGATCCGTGGCATTCGAATTTGAATTTTCCCTCCGTTGGATTTGAAATGAAACGGAAATTCACGAAGTGGTTGATTCGTGTATTTTCGAACCGATTCGGTAGTAAACGTTGATGTTCGTATATTAGCGCGGAACTTTTGCTTGACTTCAATTCTGGTTCAACAACCACTTTGCGTGTGTGTTTGTGTGTGTAGTCGCGCATCTTTTCCATTCTCGTGCAAAACGAGTTTTATTATCTCGTGGTCCGCCAGTCACCAGTCCACAAATTACAGTTTTAAACCTGACAGAAAGAGACACACCGGCGATCGTTTATATAGAATGTATATATATATATATATATAAAAGATCACTTTGCCGCGTTTTACTGAGACGTTCAATCGTATCTTGAGAAGTGACATAAGCACGCGTGTTTTCTTCCAATATAATACCTTTCCATTGTCAGTATTATTCTTGTCGTCCTGCGAGGAACTGTCATCCACATAACACGATTCTCGCGCGGTATTCAATTTGTCTTACAGTGAACATTTTCTTTATATACAATTGTATTTTTTGCCAAATACAAAAAATTTGAAACAAAAATTAAGTGCAATAAAAATTTTTTAAAAATTTCAGAAATGAAAAATCAAAATTTGAAATTGTATGACAATTTTTTTTTGTGAAAATGTAAAAAAAATTGAGTGCTAGGAAACAATTGATTTGGTGTTTTTTGGTTAGTTTTTTTTTTGTGCGTATAAAAAATGTTTGTTCAAACTGACATCACTGCTGAGGATTTTAAGGAAAATTCATGTATGTATGCTTGGCAATTGTTCATATAAGTGGTCAGGAAATAAAAAATACTTATAATTTACTGCATGCGTGGGCCTATTCTAGAATTTTGCAAGATTATGTGAATTGCAACATGCCATTTTTTTTTTTATAATTAATTTCCGAGGGAAAGAAAAATATTTGCGATTATTATAAATTATAATAAACTGGGAAAAAATAATTACAATCTTTCAACATTTTAATCAATTGATGACTGATAAGAATTGTAGCATGTCTAATTAACAGTTACTTTTAATTTGTAGCAATCAATTATTAACGGTTATTAATAATTAAGAGTGATTAGAAATGATTGGTAATCAAAAATAATTATTAATTAAATTTATATTATATTAATTAAGAAAAAAATTTTTTTAATTATAATTGTTTTTCCAATTTGATTCTCAAAAATTGAGTTTTATTCAAAATCTTTGATAGGAAATACAAAAAATTGAAAGTTGAAGTTAATTTTTTTCTGCGTCTCATCTGGCATATTAAAGAGGCATCTTATTATTATTATTATGATAGAAAATATCCAGAGAGGAATCAGGTTATCCGCCTTATGCGTGTAGGTTTCAAGAAGAGATCAGAATCACATTAAGGAGTGTCTCTTCATAATCTCCGACAATTTTTTTTAGATATGATCTCATCATATATTTTGATTAGAAATTATTATATAAATCAATTGATGATCTTTGTAGGTTACGATTTAAAAACTCAATTATATATATGTATGACATTGGCTTTAGGGAAGTGAAAAATATCAATCTTTTAAGTTCATTGCCATTGACTGAAAACCAGTCAACATTGACTTTATTCTTCAACTTCAAGGAAATCCTTTCCTTTTTTTTATTATAATGAAACAAAAAAGATAATTTGTCAGGAAACAGTAAACTATTCTTTATATTTATTTCTTTTATTTTTGTTTCATTATTTTATTAGTAAATTTGTTACTATTTTTATTTATTTATATATTTATAATTTCTGGTATTCATTTACTTTGCAGAATTTTTTTTTTCTCTCTTAAACAATTTTAATCGTATGAAAAAACTTATAGGAGTATAAAACAAGAGAAAAAAGTCTTTAATGAGATTTTATATGAGAAAATTCATCACAAACTAAAACCAGTTTTTAGATTCAAAATGATCCACTTGAACGTTTTCTTTTTTTTTTCGTTTGAGAAAATTAATTGAGGAAAGAACTCTCATGTCAAAGCTTAAAAATGAAAACGAGTTGAAAATCAAGGATCGTTGGAACTTGTTTGGTAAAATTGCTTTTTATTAGAAAATAAATGCTTAGATCCTATCGGCTATGTAACATTATCAAAATGGAAAATAATTTCAAGTAATTATTATTGTCTCAATAAGTACACAAAATTGGAGAATTTTTTTCCTGTCTTATTTTGCTTATTGTACAAAGAATAATTTTTTTTGATAGAAAAATTTTTTTTTTATTTGAAAAATATTTCAATATTTTAATATTTGAATTCAATTTTTGAATTCAAAGATGTTTTTTTTAAAAGAATATATTTTTGGATCAAAGATTTAATATAAACTCTACTATTGGAAATACAATGAAAAAAAAATGTTTAGATAATAATTTATTACGATACTTTTTATGACCTCGTAAAAATTATATTATCAAAGCTTAACACAAAAACGCTTTTAAACATTAAAAAAAAAACATTTTTGTTGAATTACAAAATTTTTTTTTTTTCTTAATTTATATATGATTTCATAAATATTGTTTATCATTTTATGATTTTATATCGTTTATACATGATTTCATATCATTTTAATCATTCTAATCACCTAAAGAGTATTTTATTTTTTATCAATGAAAAGTTTTTGGAAAATAAATATATATCAAAATAAGCTATTTACATTCGAAATTCAGGCCAGTAGCAATTCCGCACTGACTGTCGTATATATTTAAACTGTGTGTCCCCTTTCCCTATAACTACTGACCTATTACACTGCCAAGTGTAATTAAAACTTTATTTCTCCCTATTATAATAATTTTCTTCTATAGAATTATTGAAATGATAATTGAAATGAACTTCTAATTATATCAACATTCTAATTATTCTTATGCGCGAAGAAAATTGAAATAAATTTTAAAAGAGTGATATAATTAACAAATGATAAATACCAATAGAATTATGATAAAATTAATTATTTACTTCTGTAAAAATATTTATAGTTTATTGAAATGATTAATTTGATAATAGAAAATAATATTTTATATCACAATTTAATCAATATCATTGTGAATAATTAATTAATTAATTAGTCAATTAATTAGTTAACTAATTAATCAAAAATTCATAATTAATTAATACTTCAAAAATATTATTTATTTTTCAATTTTGTTACAAAAATGATATTTAGCTAAGCTAAAATTGTTTGTTATTTATAGTATTTTTTTCATTTTTCCACTTGGTGTTTATTTGTTTACCTTATAATTATTCAACTTTTTTTTCAATTGATTTTAATTTAAAAAACTAATACTTTCCAACATTTTCTCTCCACTTTCTTAAATCAAGTGCGAACCACATTCTTTTTAGTCATTAGATAATGATGCGTGGTTACTGCTAAAATAATTTATTAAACTTTCCCTCGAAATAAGTTGTTTCTTTTTGACATAACTTTAAGGTCTCTGTTCCATTTTTTTATCTATTATTTTTTTTTTTACTTGTGTGATTCGAAAGATTTATTTGCAAAATTTCTTTCGAATAAAAATAATAAACTGCGTGAAATAAACGTTTTTTTAAATTATGATAACAATATTAATTCATAAATTATTTATTAATAAATTTATTTTTGTTAATTTTAATTGCTATAAAATAATAATATACAAAAAAGAATTGTAAATTAATTAAAAAAATTATATATTTATTTTCTAAACTAATTAAAATATATAAATTGTTTGTAACTATTTGTGAAGAATTTTTTATTATCATTAATTAGAGAAATCATTCTAATATTGAAGAAATTAATGACGAAATTATTGAAAGAGAAATTTACGATGTAAACAATTTATCAATTATTATGATCTCGATGAAACGCAGTTTTAAAATATAAATTGTTTCGATTTCGATTTATTAAAGTCAATATGTGGTTGAAATTTAATCATCAATTTAGTAATTAATTAAAGTTAAAAATAAAATAAAAAAACAATTTTAATTAAATTAAAAAATTAAATGACAAAAAAAATTACAAATAATTAAAAATTAAATTTAATTGTTAATTTAATTTTTTTTCTGCAAAAAAATTATGGATTATAATAATGTCAAAAAAGGGTCATAAGGAAGCTATAAAAATGGAGCTTTGTATTGATAAGTAAAGCGTAAAATTCGTTTAGTTAATATATCGCGTGCAAGCATGATTTTCATTTGATTTTTATTTTATAAAAATTTTTCTTAGAATTGTTAAAAAAAAAATAGGGTTAATATAAATAAAAAACCGCTTGGTCTATATATTGCTGCTCACGTCTAAGAATTCAAAAACATTCTTTGTGCACTTAAATGGTCAGGGTCACAGGTTTCCTTATAATGGTCACGGTCTTCTTCGATTCTTGTTCGCGAGGACGTGATTTAACCAGGTGAAGAAATTCTCTCTGAGAATTTTATAAAAAAAAAAAGTTGCATTAAAAAAAAAAAGAAAGAAAGAAAAAAAAATTCCACATTCAATTGCCAAGTAGTTATACATTCTTATTCTATACAGAAATATTGAACTATTTTTCCATTGATTTTCCAGTTAAATCGAATCATTTATTTCCAATAGTCGTTAAATAGTCATCTATTTTCTTAAATAAATTTCATTCAATGTTTCTTGGACACAAAAAGAATTTATTCAGTGATAATTTACAATATTGTTGATAGGTTTATTGTCATGTTATATCCGCGTATATATATAGAGAAACCGCTACCTTGGATTTTAAAAGAGCTTTCAAAGTCTTTTGAAGCCTTAAAAGGCAGAATTTCTTTTTTTAAATGTCTTAACAAGTTATAATGTTATAACGATGTGAATAAAGCAGCTTCTTAATATGTGTGAATCTGTTGGTATTTAGCATTGTAGTGTCCTAACTGTAAATATATATATTCTTCACTGTATATTTTTCTTAAATTAATTATAAAGTATGAATTTTTGAAAGTTCGTTTTGCCTTCTTCAAATATAATAATAAAGAATAATTGTTTCATTTTTTATTTTTCAATTTTTATTTTACAGGTTTGCTAGAGAGATGGGAATCTTTGTCATCCAGACTTGAAGAAGTCCAAAAAGCGAATGCAATTCATCGGGATATGGCAGCAATGCACTTGGAATTCCGTGCGGCTCACGACAGAATCATGGCCTACGAAGTTGGTTTAGAAAAAGCCCACATCCTCGACGAACGTATTAATCAAATAACGGTAAGTATTTCTCTAAAAAAAAAAAATAATTAATTTTTTTTTCACTCTAAATCCCTTGTTGAAATCTTAATTTGTGTAATTTTTTTTAATTTTGTAAAAGATTTACTTTTATTTCTTTTATTTATCTAAATCCCTTGTTGAAATCTTAATTTGTGTGATTTCATTTTTATTTCGTAAAAGTTAGATTTAAAAATTTTTTTTCCAATTAAACGATTTATTTTTATTATATTTTATCGAGAATAAAAAAAGATTTTTATTTATTATTTTAATGTAGGATAGTTTGCCATTCATCTTTTTTTATATGTTTAATGCAAAGCCTGATAGTTATGACTTGTATATAAATATATGAAATGTTGATTCGATTTATGAATATAAAACGTGAAGTTGAATTAAATTTCTTATTTGCATATAAGTGAATGTAAAATATTAAATTTTCATGATTTATAAACTTGGGATTTAGTAGAGAATTGAAATTCTATTTTATTTTGTGAATTTTCAAATTTCCCTCGAAAAGAAAGACCAAACCTTAATTTCGATTCTTTTTCCAAAAAAAAAATCGCGTTAATGACAAATTAATATTAATTTTTTCAAGAATAAGGTAAGTCAATAGAAATAAAATATTTTATAAAAATTCGTGAATTATATTTTGTCTAAAATTTTTATTGTATTCTCGTAGATTAACGGAGTTTTTCTCGCGCAAAGAGCATTTTAAAGAAAAACGTGATACTTGCGGGACTTTTGAGTTCTACTTCTGACGAGATTTGTTCGAATATATATATATATATAGGGATTACTAGACGACATTGCTCAACCGGTTTTTCAATATTGCATTTCAAGTACATAAAGATTCCATGAGATATATCAAACATGGATGTATCGTGATATGTTTACGTCTCTCGAAATTCAAAAATGATCCAATATGATTTTATCACGAGAAAGTCAATTTGATTCGTTTTTCTGAAAAAAAGGAGAAAAAAAATTTGAAAGTCATTTTAATTAATTTAATATTTGTGTATGAAAAAAATTGCCACTCATTTTAATAATTAATCAGTTTATTTAAACTGGTATTTTATGAGCGCAAATCTCGATTGGTATTTTCTGAGACAAAAATCGATTAACATGACTACAGTGAAAGTTCAATGTCCATTGTGCGATGTAGAAGATGGATATATTTTTAAACTGCTTAATTTACGACTGTTAGTGACTTCTAATGTGTGATAAAGGAGAAAGTTTTAATGACACTACACTGTGGCTTTCAATTAAAAATTGTCTATTCTTCTCCTCAATGATTAAAATTACGTTTCATTTTTCGAATTCCCATATAAGACGCATCCGACTTAGTTCCTTGAAAATTAGAAAAAATATTTTTAAATTATCTTTATTAGAAAATTTTCCTTAACTTTTTTTTTTAATTCATTTTATTAAATTTTAGAAATTAACCATTTTTATAATTAATAATTATTTATTGTAAGAATAAATAATTATTAATTATAAGAATAATTATTATTTAATGAAAACAGATAAATTTATTAATGTTTAAATTCAAATTATTAATTTTGACAATAAATCATTTTGTTTATTAAATTAAATAAATAAGGAGGATTAAATTTTTTTTTTTTTTGAAATTTACTTTGTTTATTTTCTAACGTGATTTTCTAAATTTCATTTTATAATCAGAAAGTAACTATCAGAGCTCAGTTTTCAGACGAGAGTCTATGTTGTGAATTTATTACGAATCGCAACTAGTAAAGAGGAAGTAGGGCGGATAAAAGAATTATATCTGATGGTAGCTAACAACCATGACACACGAGAAAGAACATATATGGTTTGTAACAATGCCACTTTATTTATCGTTTCGATTCCTGTAAAAAGGATAACAGGAATTTAGGTATCTGATTTTCTTTAGAGCCTTAGAAAAATATTTTTTTCAATATAATTCAATTTTTTTTTTATTCAATTGTAACTACGACGAAATGTTTTACAATTAACTAATGTAAATTCTTTTTTATTAACATTTGTTTGGAAATGTTTTTATTATAATTTTTACCTATAAGTGACAAAGATACTCTAATATTTGGATAAATAATTACGACAGTACAATAAATAAGAATACTTACAAAAGGAGGATTTGATTTTGAAATTCGCGCCACTTACGCCGGTAACCACTATTGTCGATAGTGCAGTTTGCTAACTTATTAATGCTCGGTCGGGTGTTTAAATTTTAAATTATTATCTTGGCTCACGAACAGTTAAATGTGAAACTATTTTTTAACTTAGCTGCAAATTCTGTATATGTATTAATTTTTGTTGAAATCAACTCTTTTACAACTTACAATTTGCTTAATCAGCAGAAAGACTTTTATCAGTTGGAGGCTGATGACTAGCTTCGTAAAAACGCCGACGATTGGTGTTGCGTTTCATTTTGTGATAGTGACTCTTGTGTTCGTTTGTTTTATGAATAAACGTCTGTTTAGAACGATGTATTAGTGAAAAAAAAGGAAAATTTCATCAATCTAAGACGCTTAACTTATATTAAATAAGTTGTTTTTTATCTTAATTAAATTTAAAAAGTTTAGTGTATACTTTGAAAACAATGTCTGCAAGAAAGAGAGGGATGCAAGTAAGTATTTGTGAATCTTTTGTTTCAATAGTTTGGCTTGTAATATAAACTGGAACGCTTAATTGTTTTCTCCCAGCATCATACCGGTATAAAATTAATTTTACAAGAAAAAATATTAGAAAATTAAAAGCAAATATGTGCATTTGTTTAGAATATTTCTCTTTGTCCTATTTTCTAGTAATTCAAGTCTTATTGATTCGAAAGATGTTTATGTTGCGGTAATTGATCTCTTCTCCCTTGGTTGGGATATTTAATCTTCTTTTGTTTACATTCGTTGCCACTATTTTCTATTTCGATAAAATCGAAATTTGATTTTTGAAAAAAATTACACTGTAATGTTTTTAGTTTAAAAAAAGTTTTGAAATTTTGAGGTTACGTTTACGTTTTCTGAAGTTTGCGATACATAATTGCTATTTCTGTAGTTATAGCTTGAATAATAACACTATTTAGACATTTATTACATTTATAAAGGTTACGGATTCAAAGGATGAGAAACGACATTCCAGAAACTGTAGTGTTAAAAAGGGTCCTGGACAATATGAAGAGCCAGACGTTGTGAGTTCGAGCGATGACGAACAAATAAATGAAGTAAATGAAGAGAATGAAGAGAAAGAAGAAAAAATTGGCAAAGATAAAACTTTGCAACTTATTCTAGCAGTTCGTAAACGTCAGGCATTGTGGGATAATCGACTTACAAAAGTGGATCGAAATGCTGCGATACTGTTGAAATTATGGACCGAAGTCGATGAAGAATTAGGTATTTTTTTTATACCTTTATTATTTATTTAATTCAATATTATAACTATTTTTTATAATAGGAGCGGAACCTGGTTCGTCAAAGACAACATGGTCCATTACTCGTCATAAATTTAGTGCTGAAAGACGTAGAGTTGAAAGTGGACATCCTACCAATTGGCAATATTATCCTAATCTTAGTTTTCTCATTGCGACTCGTCCTTCGTAAGTTGAAAATGAAAATTTTCATTTTTTTCAATTAACTATTTTTCTTTTTTTTTCAACTCAAAAAAATTCTTTGCCTTTCATCAAATAATTAATTATTTCACAGATCAGTTACAAATACAACATCACCGCAAACATCGAGTTTACTAATTGCAGAGCCAAGTGTTCGTCAACAACCAAAGAAAAAAAAAGCGGCGGTGAATCATCAAGTTATTGAACATTCAACGCAAATAATTCCAGTACCCGTTTCACGTGGACCAGTTAAAAATAGTAGGCAATCAGTTTTTATGACAGCAACAAATTCCATTGACGAAAGAATGAAACGTGAATTATCAATTGAAACATCAGATTCAGAAGTTGATGTTGTCGAAGAGATAAATATGAGAAATGGTTCATTATTGCAAAGGCATATGGACAATCCAATGTCATATAAAAGAGTTTGCATTCGACAAATGCAACAAACGCAAGTGCAAAATATTGACGAGGATGATGAGGACGATGAAATTAAACGCTTTTGTTCATATCTTGAAGTAATGTTAAGAAAAATGCCAAAAACAAATCAAGAATTATTTTGCGAAGAGACATTGGACAATCTTGCTAATATGAATCGTAAATTGAGAAGATCTAATTATTAAAATATAAACTTTAGATAAGATGTAAAAAAAAGAGTATTTTATTATAATATCACAGTACAAAAAAATTACATTCTTTTTCTTTTTTTTTTTTATAAATTTTTTTTTTTATAAATATATATTTTTATACTTCGAAAAAAAAAATGAATACTTTACAGAAATGCACTTACAATCAAAGAAATGTGCATTTTAAGATATTTTAGTGCTGTTTTATTTAATCAAGATTAAGAGAATTTTTTTTTTTTTTTTTATTTTGTTTTGAAATAACAAAGAAAAGCTTGTAAACAGTCTAGTGTGTATTCATTTGTAATAAAGATTGTTAAAGTTTAGATTTTTGTTTCTGTTGATAACCTGAAGAATTAATTAAATTTCTTTTAGTTTTGAATTTTATATTTTTATTTTAAAAAAACATTTTCAAACGCTTTTCTTTCAAAATTAGCCGCCAAATCAATTGAAGCGACATCTATATTAGAGACGCGTGAAAATTTGTGTTGGCAGCCTTGTACATGCCACGTTAATCGACATTTTTCGTGTATTATCGGCACACTTCGTGTTCAGAATTTTCAAGATACTTTGTAGATTGTAATTTTTTTTTATCTTGTTTATCTTCTGTTTGGCGGTGTTTATTACCTTTAATAGGATTTGGCTTTTATAGCCAATTTAATTGCAAAAAAAGGATATTATTGAAAAAATAAGTGATTGTATAGTGAAGGACAGAATACACAGTTTTTAAAATGTCGGATATGACCAATCTCGTTTATGTAAGTACACAGTAAAAGAAAATTATTCATTGCGTCTAAATATTGAGGTTAAGACTCCTCCCCTGCATTTATCGTCATTTATGTTTTGTATTTTACACTTTTTATCTAACTTCAACAAGTATAATTCATATATTTATTGTTTCTACACATATTCATTATTATGTGGATATTTATTTTTCAATTATTTTTATCATTGTTGTCTTTTGTTTAAAACATTTACATTTTTAGGTTAGGGTTGTAATAACGCTTAAAAACGTCTTTTTTTGTAATTATTTTCTTTTTAAATAGTCATTTTCAAGCTTAATTATTCGTAAATTTTTATTAATTTAATGATACAATTATGTGAAAAAATTATTACATGAAAAATTAAAAATATGAAAGAAAAATTATTGTTTACTTTAGATGATTATTTTTAATAGTAATATTTTTTTTAATGAAAATATTGTAGATATGCGTTCACTGTGGACAAGTCGTTGAAAATAAAGACAGTGAATGGCACGACAGACAGTGTCCTGCAAAAAATATTAATTTAGATGAGGACCAAGATGATATCGAATTAAATGTTGATGAAATAGATGAAGAAACACCAGAAGCTAAACAAGTCGAAAAAGATGATTATGTAGTGCGACTTATAAATGCTGTGAAATCTCGTATTTTACTTTGGGATAAATATCAAAAACGCGATGTTCCAGCTAGACAAAGGTTATGGTTGGAAATTGAACAAGAATTAGGTAAATAAATTATTTTTATGTTTATAATAAGATTTGTTCTCTATTTTTATTAAATTATACTTTTGGAAAAAAAAATTTAATTCCCTAATTAATGAAAATTGAAAAAAAAAATTAAAGGTATTTCCGAACCCGGCGTTGCTAGAAGAGATTGGAATCATCTTCGTGATAAATATCGAAATGAGAGGGCGATTGTACACAGAGCTGAACAAGCAGGTCGACCAATTCCACAAAGATGGGAGTATTTAAGTCATATGTCATTCCTCGAAGCAAATGAGTTGTAAGTAATTTTTTCTATTTCTAATCTTCTTTTTTTTTTGTAAATTTGTGATTAATTTAGTCTTTTTTTTTAGACCCAAGCCAACAGTTAGAAGTAATTCAGCGTCAAAAGTCGTTTCATCAAAAATAGTGACTGTAAATGGAAAGAAATTGGTACAGTCAACACGTACAAAAGGAAAACCTGGTCCTAAACCAGGTAGCAGGAGGAAAAAGCAAATTGTAACAAAACCAATAACAAGATCAAAAAGAGAACCAAAACCAACGAATTCACAGACAATTACAAAAATAACAACACCAAGTTCCACCGCCAAAATGAATGAATTACGAGTTGTTGTTTCGAGAAATGATTATCGTGATTTATCAAAGACAAAAACAATGAATAGTCATGCAATTATGAATAATTCAAATTCACGTAAACGACCACAACAAACCGATATGGAAACAACAACATTAAAACAAGTTTGCATTAGAAATAATGAACAAATAAATAGTGCAAATGATCACGATACAGTCGGTAAATTTTGCTCTTATTTAGAAGTTATGCTCAGAACATTACCAAAGGAAAAGCAAGAAGTTTTTTATGAGGAAACACTCGATCATCTTGCAACATTAAAACGTCAAATTCGAAGGTCGAATCATTCAAATCCTGCGACTAATTACATGTGAATCATTTTTGGACTCTTTCTTTTATTTTCGACTTCTTCATTGATATTGTTTATTTTTTTTCTTTCTTTCAAAAATCAAAATTTACGTAAGTGTCAAAAAAAAAACTGTTTTCCATTAAATTAACAAAATAAAAAAAATCTAATTTTATATATTATTTTATATAAATATATGTATTATAAACAGCTTTAAGTTTTTAGATTATCGTTAGTGTAAGGTAAATAGCATAAAAGAAAATATTTCAAAATTTGACAAAAATCTTCGATTATTTTTGGGTTATTTTTTTTTTTTTTTTTTTTTACACAAAAAGAAGAAAAAGTAGGTCTTAATCTTTGTTGTTCAATTATTGTAAATGGATTTGAAAACAGTGTTCTAAGTGTATGTTTTTTTTTTAAATTAGGGTGTGATGAGCATAAGTATTGCTTTTGATATATTACTATATTATTATGTAAATTATATTATAATATTGTGAATATTATAATATAAATTTAAAAATAAATATATAATATATTAATTTATATTTTACTTTGCTCTATGAAAAAAGAAAAATGAATGAAAAAAAAACTCATTGAGTTTTCTAATTAGATATAAAACTGTCCAGTGGTTCTAATGAAATATAAGTTTAAATCTGTTATTTATCTTCGTTCGTCTTGTTTAGAGTTACCACAAGATTAGAGTATTTTTTTTTTTTTTTTATCACATTAAAGACAATTATAAAAATTTTGGATCACTGGTAGAATTTAATTCATTACAATAATGTATTTCTAAGGCTTCGTTTGTTAAATCACAATAAATTGATATAACTTTACAAAAATAATTGACTAGAAAAATTTTGTTTTAGATCCCACGCTAATTTTTATTTTTAAAATATGTTTTTTTTAGGTTTAGACAATTTTCCTAATAGGATTCTTCAATGGGATTCAGAAAAAGACTCCAACAAGGAAAGTTAACGAATTTCTATTTCCTAAGACGAGGAAATGAGGATCCGTGCGATGGTAACGATCCTTTTGGAAAAACTCCTTTGGTCAAAGGAGACAACGAAGGAGAAGAGGGAAAGTTTCGAGAAAAGATGGTAGCAGAGAAATGTGAATTTCACAGTCGACGGAAAGAAGCGAGATCGAGAGAGAGAAAGAAGGAGAGAGAGGGTGTAAAAGCGTAGTCGTGTCGCACGTACGCTCGTCTGACGGCGACGTGCCTGGAATCTAAACTCTTTGGAACGAACCCGCAGCTAGAGCTTGTGATGCCAACCCCCTGAGTCTCTTGGAACCCTCGGAACCTCCTCTCTCTCTCTCTCTCTCTCTACAATACCCTCCTCTCTCGCGGCCTCATTGCGAAGACCAAACACATGCTCCCTATCTATCATCAAGATGTATTAGCGTCCAACATTTGCTGGCTGAACTCGTCGTTGTGCTGCATTATGCACGAGGCAACCTGCATTACCCACCGCACGATATCCTAATCCACATACTCGCGGAGCCTTGTTTGTTTTACATGTTCCAACACAAGTACAAAAAAAGACAAAAACGATTTATAAATTTTGTTTTCAAAAAAATTTTCATTACAAAAAGCAATAGAATTTCGATTTCGAATTTTACAAAACGAAAATTCAGACTCTTATAATAATAATATGTTAAATGAATTTTTTGGATAAAAAAAAAAAATCACGTTTCGATTGTTCAGTAAATGAATAAAATTCGAGTGTCGCCAGCAATTGAATTGCCCTTGTAATGATTAATTGATCAGTTGTGTGTGTGTGCCATGCGGACAAATTCATTTGGAATTCACGACAGAGTGCGTAAAACACGACAGAATGAATGAATGTAACGATGCTGGGGTTCGCAATATTGTGTGAAGCGCATCTATTATACATTCGTAAACATGTGCAATCAGATTTAAACATACCACATTGCCAGTTTTATCAGGCATAAAAGATTATTTCGTATACGATGAGAGGGTTAAATATAGAAAAGAGAGAGAAAAAAGAAAAGTTGAAACACTATCATTTTATCTCAAATCGATTGTTGCAAAATTAAAATCGTTTCCGTTTCTTGGCAGTTCAAAGTTAGGTAAGGAATTTTTTTTCCAATTTTTATTAATTTTTTTTTTCTCTTCTAATTTTTGTGTATTTTTAGATGAATGAAAATCTTGAATGAAAAGCATGTGGTCAAGGTTCGAAAAAAGAAAAAAAATTTGGAAAATGATGGAACAAGCTTCTCGCAGGGGTTCAAAATGAGCATTGATATTCCAAACGCATTGGGAAAGAGCAGAGGCAGAGAGAGGTACCCTTCTGAGAGAGACACGCGCATTCCGATCTAATTCAATTTCCAATCAACAGCCAATCAATTGATTCGAATTCGGTATACAGAACGGTCGCTTCAGCTTCGGGACTTGCATGCCTATGAGGCTGATGTTTCTCTCTCTCTCTCTCTCATCTTCACGAGGCACGTACATCCGTAAAAGTAGGGAATTAGCTTTTTACGCCTCGTAATTCTGATGATACTACACAACGACTATATTTTAATTGCAAGTTCTTTACACCGCAAAAATGAGAGAGAATCGAGTAAAGCTGCATTTTGAAAAAAAAAAAATCAAAGAGAGTGGCTTTTTTTTTTGAGACTATTAGATTCGAGTTGAAAACAAGGAGAATAAAAGATTTTTCTTTTTTTTGGTAAGGAAGGAAAAGATCCTTTTTGGATGTTGTATGATGCAAAATGACCACAAGGATACGAGCTTTACGAGCACTCCAACTCCTGGTCACGCGACGGAGGAAAAAAAAACGCAAGGGGATGAGGAACGAGCTTCTCGTTCTAACGTTCTACGTCGCCGTCGTAAACCTAGGGGTTATTTATGCGGTCCTCGTCGGTTCCCTCAAGTAGGACGACGGCGACGTGACAACGTGACGAGCTTCTTCTTCTTCTTCGAATTTGATCAAACATCATCCAAAAGTCAAAATAAAACAACTTATTTTTTCTATTTTAAAAATTATTTAATTTTTGTTTAATTGGCAAAATGATTAAAAATTGAGGAATTCGCTTTTTTTATGTAACGATAGGTCAATGATGGTTTTTTTTTTTTTTCAAAACGGTATATCAGTGTTAGCTTTAAGCGGTTTGGTCTTCTCCCTTTCCCCCATAGATTCTAAGATGAGGGTAATTTATTTGAATTAAGGAACCGACGGTGGCAATAAAAATGTATATTTAATGTTACAGAGCGAACTTGCCACGCTGAAGGAACGTAAGATTGCTATGTTGGCGTTGAATGTTTCGACGCACCGACTTCTTACTGATCTTGGTCCATCGGCTGCGCCAGCTTTTGCCGCACTCAAGGATGGCGTTGCTGATCTCTATCGCATTTGGGATGAAACCGTTCAAAAGTGAGTTTACTTCAAGTAATTTTTTTTTTACATTTCTTAAAAAAATTTCATCTAATTGAAAATTCCAACTAAATTCTTTATGGAAATTATATTAATTATAAAAATAATAAAATATAGAAAATTCGTTTAGTTAAATCAAAAATTTTCCGATATTAGAATTGAATTTCAAAAAATTCGACTAAATAAAAATTATTGATAATTCGCTTCTAAATTCTACTGGATAAAATTTCGATTTCAAACTTGATATTTTTTCATCTCGCAATGAATATTTTGAATGAATTTAAAAAAATAGAAAAAAAATCGATTTTTTTTTTTTTTGATTAAAATTTTTCCGATTTTTGTATATTGAATAAGAATAGGTTTTCCCGAAGTGGATGGAAAAGAAAACAATTAAAAAAAGGGTCATTATGACAAAAAAAAAAAAAGAAGAAAAAAAGTGGGAGAAATAGATTGTGTCATTTCCGCAAGATAACAGTTTGAGGACCTTTACGATTAAACCTGAACCCCCTCTTATACTCTTCTTCTATAAAGCTGGTAATCCCGTGACACGGGTCAAGACTGCTATCTGGTATCTCATCGTTGATCCCCTTTCTCATTGCCTATGATGTCTTTCAGTTTTCCCGCATGTTTGCTCTAGAGGCTTCATTACCTTTCACAATATTTGTTCTACGTCACATACCAACCAAGCGACGGTCAGTCAATGAATCCCCGCGCTTATTATTTTCAACCCCTCGATTTCTCAACAAAAAAAAAAACAAAAAAATAGTCACCAATGAAAAATAGTTCACACGTTGAAAAATTAAATTCATGGAATAAAATTTTTCTTATCATGTTTTTTTCGTTTATTTTGCATCTATCATTTTTTTTTCCGAAAGAAAAATGGATTTTGAAAAATAATGTACTTTTTTTGACGTGTAGATAAATATGAAATTTGAATTTAAATTTGTATTATCGAATTATTAATTGCTTTTTGTAGAAAAAATATTTGACAACAAAAAATGTTTGATTTGTGGACTTTTTTTTTTTTTTGACCCAAACAAAAATATTTAATCCGAATTTAAAAACTTTTACACAATTTTTAAAAAAAATAATTTTTAATTATTTGTAAATTTTTAAATTTGCGTGAAAATATTATTTTTTGTTTGGCGAAAAAAAAAATTAATAATTTAGTTTAAATACATTCGTTTAAAATAAAAATATATATTTAAAAATTTGTTTGCTAAAAATGAAATTTTCAGAAATATTGTTTCGCTATAAAAATTGTTTATTTTCTGTTTGATTGAATTTCTTTGGCAAAAGTCAAAAGAATCCGATTCATGGACTTGACCTTTGTAATCTGTAAACCCCCCAGTGGGTCAGTGGTCAATCCCGTTTTACATGAAACCCCCTATCAACAAAAGGGGATCAAGTACTTATATGGAAATTAAAATAGGGTTTAAAATCCTAATAGAGGAAAACATTTTATAATCCCTTTGAGAAATAAAAGCACTATAATATTAATTGTTCTGTAAAGATATTTTTCACAGTATGTTTTTTTTTGATACTTTTTTTAACTTAGTATTTTTTTTATATTTTTATTATTTTTTAACCCAGTATTTTTTCAAACAATATTTTTTAAATGTATTTTCATTGATTGGTATTTTTTTCTATAATTATTTCATCTGATTTTTATATAAAAAAAATACTTTCGCATTGTATTAAATATTTTTTTGTATTTTCGTTAAAAATATTTTTCACTATTTTGTATTGAATCGAAAGTAATTTTGAAGGATACTTTCCTGTATTTATTTTTACATCGAGTAAGGGTTTCGAGATAAAATGTTATTCTTTGCTGACATTAGAAGAGGGGTCAAATACTTGGAACAATGTTCAGTTTCTTATTTGTCCTCAAGACATTGTTTGATCTCTCTCTCTCTCTCTTTTTCTTTCCACTTTCGATATATTAACAAAAATCAATCAAATTTTTTCCTCTAATTTGTTTCGTGTTTATGAAAAAAATATTCTTCAATATAAAATTATTAAATCTCTATCTTATTATTATTATTAAATTATAATATAATTTTTATTATAATATTTATAAAATAAATTTTTTATCGAATTATAAATTTTATCTGTTGATAATAATATAATGTGTGCTATCATAGAAAATGGAATTTTTGACGATTATTGTTTTTTATTACAGGGGTAATCAACAATTATGTGCCTTGCAAGCAATTCAACAATTCGTTGCGCGTTTGACTGAATTACAATGTGCTTTGCGAAGAGATAAGGACGCCCTTGGAGTTTTAGATGCAGCCCTTCAAGCAGGTGCCACCAACGAAGTAGCGTCTTCTGTTCGCGATGTTGCTCGTCTCCTTTCCGAGAAGCAGGATAACAATTGCCAAGTAAGCTGACAAATATACCATTTAAATTGAAAAAAAAAAACAAAATGCTCAGAGGTAAATAAATATTTATTTTTTTCTCAAATAAATTTGATAAATTTTATTTGCATCAAATAAAAATTTTATTTACATTAAATGAACATTTTTTTACATCAAGTAAAAATTTCATTTATATTAAATAAAAATTTTATTTTATTTTTATTTTTAATTTTTTATTTAATTTTTAATTTTTTTTTTAAATTTGTATTTCTGCCAAACAAAATTTCTAAATGAAACAAATAAATATTTAGTTCTGGGATAAATATATATTTCTTTTATAATTATATTTGGTTCGAATTAAAAAAAAAAAAAAAAAAAATCGAGTTTAGATCGAGTGAGTTGCGTTTCAAGGGAATAATTTTATATATGAGGCCTAATACAGTTAATATTCATCGATTGAGGGTTTATATGCATTAATTGACTAGGAAAAGAATCTCCGAGTCTCTCGACCTTTACTCTTTGATTCCTTCATCCATTCGTTGTCTACTTCCTTTTTTCAATGGGTCATCGTACCTGTATACAACTTCAACTTACTAATTTAAATCGTTTGGCTATTATTAGTAATGATCCATGACGAGACATGAAGTGATTGCAGTGGGTAAGCGCACATCCTCGCGATTAGTAATATACCATCTTCCGTCCTTTCCTTTTCACATTGTATATATCGATTATTATTCACTTTTCCATCGCCTGAGAATCGTTGATTTATAACGAATATTCAGTATCGAAAAACAGTGTTTCTCATATTTTTTTATTTAGTTGCAGTTTATTTTTCATATTAATTATTTCATTTCCTTGTCGGACGTAAGTTTTTTTTTTCTTTAAAAAAAAAATGTAATTTTAATTTCAGTGATATCAAAAATTTTATAAGTTCTTTTAAATAAAAATTAATTAAAATTTTGTTTAAAAATTCGAATTAATTGTTAATATATCGTTAAAGTATATATATATAGAAAGTTGAGTATTAAGGTTGGTTGTAGATCAGCGGCTTCATGTTTTCATGATGCCCTTTGCACTCATCAAAGATGATGGTTCTCGGTCCTCGCCATCAAAAGGCTGTGTTGTTTCAGGATATATTCAGACTCGAGATTAATTTCCCCCAAGCTGATTACTGAAAATAATGCTTTCAAAGCGCAAACACTCACGAATTATCCTCGCCAATTTAAGTTCGAATTTCCTACCTATATGAACATATTTCTCTTTCCCGTGTGTTCTCCACACATATCAATAAAAATTATTTTCTATCCTCCAAAGTGATATTTTTAATTACAAATAATTTCAATAATTAAATTTTATATAAAATTATTAAATAAAAATTCTCCTTTTTGGCTTTGATAAAATATTCATAAATATTCAGAAAAAAATATTTGTTTCAAGTATACAAAAAGAATTTTCATAAATATTGAAGAAAATTAATTAATCTGTTTTAATTTCTGAAGTAATCTTGTATTGTGTCAGGAATCCTCTCTCGTTTGTAAGGAGAGTAAACGAGATAATTTCGGTGGTGTGTAATAAAAAAAAAAAATAAATAATAAAGAAAAAAACGAGAAGACAGACCTTCTTTGCCCTCTCTTGAATTATCGCCACGCCTTCCGCTTTTATATAAGTCGTTCTCTTGTAATATTCCTCGTTTCGGGTCCTATCTTCCTTTTATAAACCGACAGATCTCGCCGCTTTTTTTTGCACACTTTCCCACACTCATTTTTGCAATGATCTCGAAAATGGAAATCATTTTCGAAAAATTTATTATATTTTTTTGCGATTTTATAAAATTTTAGAAAAATGAAACTGAAAGCCAAATTATCAAATTATGGCTAATATAGGAAAAATAATATTACACAATTGGTATTATATTTAATCAGGGAAAATCAATGAACAAATCGTTTTAGGATTGTAGTTGTTCGTGTTTCTCTGATTTTCAATTGGTGAGATAGCTGTTTGCAATTATTCAACGTCAATGGACGGGGCAACGGGTCCCGCGGGTACCGCTTGTGCGCATAAAACGATTTCCTCAGCTAGATTGGAAGAACGGGAAATTCAGAGGGATATATATATATATATATGTGTCGTAGATCTTTAAATGTTCTCCTTCCATCATACTTTAATGTTTAACTGTGATAAACGAGATACTGTAATTATTATTTAACTGAATTTTTAAAACACATTAAATTTCGAAATTTTTTGATGAACTCCAATTTTCACTCGAATATCATGAGAGCAAATTTTTTCTCTTTTCCCAATTTCCAATTAAGAAGAATTTTTCTATAACAAATTTTTAACTAAAATTATTCTCTAAATTAATTATTTCAAATAATTTGAATGAAATTCTTTACAAATTCAATTATAGAATTTTTAATTCAATTATTTTTAAAAAAAGGTTATATAAAATTATTTGATAAATTATTTTCATTTCTATAAAATTTTACAAAAATTTAAATTTCAGTTATTTTTAAAAATTTCAACTGTAACTAAATTTTTTTTTAGAAATTTATCCTACTTAATTAATTTTAAAAGTTTGTTCGGTTCGGTTTTGAAATATTCGAAATAAATTTTCTTTATAATATTCGTGTAGAATTATTCTTAATTAAATTAAAAAATCGACTTTTTTTGCGCCTTAAAGTCGATCCGAGGCCTGTCTGTGCTAAATTAACATTTTTATTTGAAACAAATAAAAAATTATTAGTCTCTAAGGCAAATGTATTTTTATTTGTCTCAAATAAATGCAAATAAAAATATTTCTCTGACTGTAGATTATAAATTCTTTTAGTGCATTCTGTTTTATAGAATTTTGTTAAATAAAAATTCGAAAAAATGGAAATTCTCTTTTAAATAATAAATAAAAATAATAAATAATAAATCAAAAAATCAAATTGTGGTTATATGAAAATTTTCTCTTATTAATTTCTGTGAAATTAAAATTCTAATTACAATAATTTTATATTTTTTAGGCTCTATTCATGCTTTCCTCGAAATTCAGAGCTTCTATAATACAATCGGAAACTGACTAATCTGGGTAATTTAGCAAAGATTGAATCAGAGTTCATAGAGAGAGAGATTGAGTGGCACAAAGAATAAATAGAGAACGTTTGAGTGATGACACCTGCCACTGTTAAACGTCTCGTCACGCCCTATTCCCTTGAATTTCCATGGGAATTTGCATATAAAGTAAACTTGCCAGCGTAACCACGTTTCGGCTAAGAATTTCCACAGGCACCAAACTTGAATAAATACATAGAGGAAAAGTGTTTCGAAACATGTCGATTGCCTGTGTGCGCTCATTTCGTCTGTCAAGAAGACTTACAACCAACCAAAAAAAAAAAAAAAAAAAATTCTCCCCCTGCACCAAAGACGCGAATCATATCCTGAAACCTAGAACCACACATTTGGCACAATCGAATATAAACAAAATAATTTGACTCTCAAAAAAAAACGGGTTTTTATATTTACTGTACACGAGGGAATAATTTCATTCGCTCTCGCGATAGTGAATCGTTTCTTTCTCTCTTTTTTTTTTTTTCTTCTTAGATCCATCTTTTAGATCTCGCTCTCCTTTTTTTTCCCCAATTCTTAAATCCCCTGACAAAAATTCACCCTCTCTCGCATCTTCTTTATTCGCGGTTACTTTGGAACGCAGATGCCAATGATGCTCTGCGATTTCATCTTATTTGCATGTGTGTTTGGAAATTTGTCTCGACAAAATATATTGTCTTCTGATTTTACAGTTTCGATTTTTTTGCTGCTTTTTAACAAAAAAAAATAGTTGTTTTTATTTTGTTACAGAAGAATTTTTTTTAATCATCGTTGAGCAATTAGTCTTGGACAGAAGAATGTGATTCGAAATCAATCCAATTACGCCGCGTTATTTCGCGATGGAAAGAACAAGTCTCCATATTCTACTTATGGGTATCTGCGGCGTTGTGCGAGTGCAGCTGGACAAGGATCGGGGCGATGATATTAAATTTGTATTTTTACGCTGATTCCACGGGCCATCCCGGTACGTGACAGGAAAGCGAATCGTTCGGGCGATTAACGATCCAAGCTCCCGAGGGAGTCGCTTGACTCTCGAGAACAACTGGATTCCCGTATATACGTATATACTATAGTGCAGGTGATCCTAAACTCGACCCTCGACCCCGAACCACACCTCTCTCTCTCTCTCTCTCTCTCTTTTGACCCATTCGCAATATTTTATTTAGTAGCTATCAAAATTTATAGATTCTTTCGCGATCGAGTAACAATGACGCTCAAAAAAAAAAAAAAAAAAAAAACTTTCACAAAAAAAATAAGGAGGAACCTTTTCCAGTAAATGAATATTTAGAAAAATTCGAATTTAAATTTTGTTTTAATTTTTAGAAACGATTTTGAAAATTTTATATTTCGAAAGCAATTTCGTCGAATTGTCCGAATTTTTTATTTTTGTATCGCACCTGAAAAAATCGGGAAATGGATTTTTATGAAAGACAGAAATTTTTTTTTCCGTCCTGCAGAATATTTTTTGAAAAATATTTTTCATGTCCACAATATAACAATTTTTTAGTTATAAATTAATTAAACAGTTATTCCTGTTTTCCATCACTGAAAGAATATTTCAATAAGTATAGTATAGAAATTTTAGTAAATATTTTTCAATTTGGTGAAGAAAAAGTGTCGAAATAGAAATTATTGATATAAAAAGTACAAAATATATTTTAATTTTAAATAAATGTTTTTTTTGTAATAAATATTTATGAATTTCAATAAAAAAAATTTTAATAATTCTATAAACTCTTTTTGGAAATTTAGTATTTTTTTTTTATCAATAATTCACATTTTGGCACGTTTTCCCTAAATTGAAAAATATTTACAAAAATTTCTACTGTATACTGAAAAAAACATTTCTTTGATTCAAATAATCGGTTATTTGACTATTATCAAATAAATATGTGTCCAATTGCAAATTGTACTTTAAATTTTCATAATAAAAAATGAATTGAACAAAATAATTTCTAATTTTTCGAAATCAAATTATTTGAGTTGCTCTTTCATTTCCAAAAACTAGAAATTATTTTGTTCAATTCATTTTTTATTATGAACATTCAAAAGTACAATTTGCTATTGTACCATAAGGTCCCTTTCACCGCGTCAGGACACATATTTATTCATATCAAATAATTATTATTTGAGTCAATTACTGGTTCAAATACAATTTAATTCAAATAAAAATTATTTGGTTCAAGTAAATATTTATTTGATAATAATCAACTTTTGAAAAATAAAAATTTAGATAAATGAAAATTTTGACAAATTCGTTGAATTGGAAATTTTGGTATTTGAAAATTCCGAAATATTTTTTTATATCACATTATATAGTTGAGAGAGGGGAAAAAAAAATCTATTAGCGCAAAGATGGTATGAAGAATCGATATATCTGTCTCGATTCGAAGATGGCAATGGTCCAAGTTTTAGTAGTTTGGTACGTGATTGCTGGGCCTTTCTGAGATGTTTTCTTGGTGCGCGGGGGGTTCGTACCTTTTATCCGTTATACACACTACCACCTTGTATATATGGGTTAGGTTAGAGGTTGCTACTTGATATTCCGATCGCGCTTTTCATTACCGGAGGCTCGTTCCCCGCATCTCCACTGGTGCAAACAGCCTAAATCTACTCTCTCACTTCTTCTCCACCTTCCACAACCCATTTCGATCTTCTTTTTTCTCTTTTCTGCCCTTATGCTATCACAATCCAGAGTTCACTCTTTCTCTTTCTCTCTCTCTCATTCTTCAGACCTCTCTTTTCTTCTCTATATCATCGTCTTATATGCCTCCCGGTGGCATGAGCCACTGGATTATACAATATTCGATATCATACTACACTTCCGTATCTATATCCCCGGTACCGATTTCGCACAAGTTGATCTAATCAACAGCTTTTCTTTTATGGTACCATTTTATTTTAGGAGATTATTCATCATTTTTTTTTCTGATTTCAACGGAATTAACGAAAAGGGGGAATAATTTAACCGAGAGAAAGGGATAAAAGAGAACAAAAGAATTAAAGGGCTTATTTTTTTTTTTTCATTTGAAAATAGAGATTACGAGAGAAAAATAATTGGATTGAATTCGATTAGTACATATTGTCTTAACCAAATGTTAGTCAGGAATTCGAACCAAATTTATTGAGATCAATTTATTATGTAAAACTGATTTTCAAAATTTCTATTTATAATTTGAGATCGAATTTTTATTTCGCCGAATTACAAAGTGGAATTAACAATTAAATTTCACAATTTTATTTATTAAATCCTAATTTTCAAATGGAAGAATTTCTTTTTTACTTAAAGTACAAAAATTTGTGTTAATAAACAGAAATTCTGTTTCACTGAATTAAAATTTTTTTTTTGGAAATTTTCATTTAGTCGAGTTTTCATTTCGCAGATCTTTGGCGAATTTAATTATTTAAACCATAAATTGTAAATTCAGAGAATTATTTGCAATGTACCAGGAATCAAAGTGATCATCAAAAATTTTTAATTAAAAATCACTTGAAGTTCAATTAATTTCAAAAATCTACATTGTAAATCTTTGAAAATTTAATTACTTTCAAAAAAATGTTGATTAAATTAAAATTAAATTAAATTAAATTCAAAATTATTTGATTAATTATTTTTAGTTCTGTAAAATTTAATAATTGTCTGAAAATTAACAAAATCTTTTGAAATTCAATTATTTCTAAAAATTTCAACATTAACTCTTCCAAAATTATTATTATTTAAAAATCTGTAAAACTTGATTAAATATTGCCTGAAATTTTTTTGACCATAAAAACTAAAACCTATGACAAAATTTTTAATTAGAATAAATTGCTTAAATCAGACTTCAAAAAATTATAAAAATGGATCTTTTTTTTTTTTTTTTTTTAGAAATTTGTCCTACTTAAATAAAATTTTGAAAATTTGTCCTACAATTAGTAAGATTCCGAAATAATCGAAATAAATTTTTTTGATAATATTTTTATAGAATTATTCTCATTACAGAATTAATAAAATGAATTTAATATTTAATAACATTAGTAAAAGTAAAATATTCATTAATCAATTAAATTTTTTTAAAATAAAAAAAATCGATTTTTTTAAAATTTAAATCGACTAAAACGACTTTTTTTATCCCTTAAAGTCGATCCGAGGCTTTTAAACGACTAAATAAAAATTCTGATAAATGAGAATTCGGCACAATGAAAATTAAATAAAAAATTTAATTAAATTAAATGAAAATTAAATTAAGTAAAAATTCGATAAAGTGGAAAATCTGAACCTCCATGAACTTGGCGTCGACGCTCAGCGTCGAAAATTATTTTTCATGAGACCAAAAATATCAAAACATTTTTTAAAAAGGTTTAGGGTTTATACAATGTCTTAAGAAGTATTTTTCAAGGTATTATTTGGATTGAAAAATAAAAAAAAGGGAATTTGAAATTTTTGATTCTACGAAAAACAATTTTTGGCGCTGAGCGTCGAAGCCAAATTCAGGAAGGTAAATCTGATATATAAAAATTCAGATAAATATAGAAATACTTTTGAACACAATTTCGATTCTTTATTAACTTCGGCTGGATAAAAACTCGAATAATATTAATTTTCGAAACATTAATTGAATTAATTAATTAAATTAATTACATTAGTTAATGAAATTAGTTATTTATTATTTTATTTAATTATTAATACTTAATTTTTAATATTCATGTGTTTTAAAATAATTTTTTTTTATTAAATGAACAAAAATTTTTGTTTTTGCAGAATGGAAAGCTAATGAATGAGACATTGAAGGAGGAGGACACAAGCGAGAATGGATCAAAGTTTGATGACACGACAGTGATTTGCTTAACGCAAGAGGGTGGCTCATTGTCGGACAGTGGAATATCTGATAGTGGCAGTGAACAAGAATTGAGTGAACGTGAACGTCGTTTGGCAGCACTTCGACGTTTGACACGTTCATTGGAAAGTCAATTGGCACCGGGAAGTGAGGCATTGGCGGAACTTTGGAAGAGAGTTGAGGACGCGGAAGCGGAATTACGAACACTTCAGAAACAATGTCGCGAACTCATTGTTCGAACTGCTGCCAGCGTTGAATCTCGTTCAACAAATCGAGCATCTAGCCCCGTTAATTTTCCAATTTCAATGTAAGTTTCACATATATTTACATAAATTACATATTTTCTTTTTCTTTTTTTTTTGTATAAATAAGAAAACTAAAGCAAAAGCCGAATTGAAAAAAATACGACAAAAAGGGAAAAAATTAAATTATTTGTGAAATTGTTTGTATGGTATTAAAAAATCGCGTACATATAATTTTGCATAACGTGAAAATGAGAAGTTAAGAATGACGGCATCTATTTTATAAGAAGGGGAGTCGTCAGTTCATAATATGCTGCCCCTATAACGCGCCTTCTCATTTGAATATAAGAACTTAACTTTGAATGAACAAATCCTTCTCCGAGTTTTCACACAGTACAGCTCTTTGGGTTCTCAGCTTTCAATGTTTTTTTTCACCAATTTTCAAATAAATTTATTTTTATATTTTTTTCTTGTCAAAAAAAGAATACAGAATATAAATACCAAATAAAAAATAGAAATAAAAAATATTTTTGAATAAAGGTAACAAAAATTTGATTAACAATTCATTGGGGGCACAGTTTTTAAATACTAGAAAAAATTGGAGTAAATAGTAAGATTTTAAAAAATAATAAAATCGATTTTTAATTTTGTAAATTTTTTTTGTTTGTGAAAAAAAGAGAACCACTGCAGTGTGTATGTGTGTGAGGGGGTCAGCTGTTGAAATGAATTATAGCTTTTCATAAGCATCCTCACCATCTTTTCTCACCCTCGTTTTCCAGCACAATATGTTCAAAGAATTCTGAATTTTGGGGAATAGTGCAATTGCGAGACAAATTATTTCTTCTTAATTTGAGCTAAATTGCCCTTAAGGAGGTGATTTTGATTTAAAATTACAAATTGTTGTCATTTTTCTTCTATAATTTAATATCTACAAAAAATGATTTGCAATATTTATCAAAAAGTAATATTTAATATAATAATAATTATTAATTCTCTAATTTTTTTTTTTTTCTGAAATCAGATTATCTAATGACAATACAGAAGTTACAATTATTTTCACAGCTGAGCCGTTATCACTGGCCACCTCATTTAACTTTGTTTTAAGGATGTTTTTTTTATAGTTACATTTAATCACTGACTTCTTGTGGTGGTAATAGGTTTAGTTCGGTTGGGTGCGAAACGTCTCCTATATTGCGTCGTAAAAAAAAAAGTTGTAAAAAACTCACGCCCGCTTCCACGTCCATCAATTCGTTACGCTCTTCCTTTTTTTTTCTCCTCTCCTTTATCGCCTTGAATTTTCGACTTATACAAGACTCTATCTATATATTATGCAAACAATTCGCATCGAATTTATAACAATAGTTTCTAAATCGCTCTTTACGCTCTGGTATTACGTGGAGAAAATTTTTTTTGTTAAAAACTATTTTTTTTTAAAATTAATTATTCGAATTAATTTTTTTGCAAAAAATTGGAATGAAAAAGGAAAATAATTTTTTTTTGTTTCAGAAAGCGAAAGAAAGTGACGAGTCCTATGGACTCAGAGGCTGAATGGAATCCAAAACAAAAGAAAAAGGGTTGTGTCACTAATTCTGGCGATCCAGAAAGCGAACCAAGTGAACCAAACAGTTGGATTTGGCGTATTTTAAAAGCAGCCTTACCATTTCAACTTGCGCTCGTCGCTTTATTTTGTGCAGCATGCCTTTTGGAGCCACATTGCTGTGAAGCGGCCAACAGTCTCAATTTATCATTGACGCCACAATTGCGTTATGTTCGAGGACCGCCTCCAGTGTGAACACTGCAAAAGAAAAAAAAAAAAAAAACAAAATCTGAAAATAAGTCAATTGACTTTTTTTCTATTCTAATATGATGATCAAAAGACTGAGAGATCCACGAATTTTTCGTGACATTCATCACGTTTATCCAAAAGCTTTAAAAACAAACAAAATTTTGATATTCAAATCGATTATTGAAATAATTTCGAATTATGTGTATATTATTAATAACAATAATATACCATTTTTCTTAAACGTGATGTACATTTCTGTCACCATATTCATCGGTGGACAAAAAAAAAAAAAAAAAAAAGGATTGATTCCGAAAATATTTGAAAGTGCCTTTGGCCAAAAAACGGAATTACAACCGCAGGGTCAAATTTCTTCGATTTTTGTTAAAATCGAGATCTTATGCAACTTTATAATTTTTATTTTTAACGAAATAAAAAAAAGAAGTAAAGAAAGGTACGTATATACAATATATAGTAGATTAGAACATTTTTTCGAAGAGTTTTTAAATGCGTTTTTAATCGTGTATACGCGTTAAAGTATATAGTGGATTATCTAACGCTTAAAAAGGTAGATAGAAATTAGAAGAGGATAATTGGTAACGATATTGGCACCATTGTGCGATGCAAAAATATTTTTTTTATACCAGAAATTTGCATTGCAATTATTTTTTTTTTTGCTCAGAATTAGAAAAATTCGATATTTCTGAATTTTTCATCTCATCAAGTGCCTCAATATTAAAATGAAAGTAAAAAGAAAAATCAAATTTGATTAAATCTTATCTGTCATTTAAAAAATTGAAAAATTTGAATTAAAATTTGATTTAATAAAAATTAAATTAAACTTTAAATAAATTTCAATTTGAAGTAAATATTTTACCAAGATAAAAATTCCACATTTTTTAATATAAATGAAATTTCTATGTAGAAAACAAAAATTTATAATATTTTTTTATAAAAGAAAAACATTTTAAAATTCCATTTTTTTAGCAGAAATTTTTTATACGAATTGATACGAAAAAATGAAAAAAAAAAGATGCCCTCTATGAGTAACACAATAAAAGTGCCAATATTGGTGTCGTTTTTTATAACAAAAAAAAAAAAAAAGGAAAAAACCGAAAAAAAAGAGTGAAACATAGTTTTGATTGTAAATATGTATAATAATGATCGATAATCAAAGAACAGATAATAATTTGATAATATAAGCTCTACCTGCGAAGATATACTATTTTTTCAGCGTTTGCATGCAATTTTTTTGATAGATTACACTTCTCATTATAATAATTTATAATCTAGAATCTATATTTGTATCAGTAACCACGTGTGTCACACGCTTTCTCCGCTTTTCTGCTTCCCAGATTTTAAGATTACGTCTTCTCGTCCAAGAAATTTAAATTTTTTTTTCTTTGAAGGAATTTTCTTTTTTTTTTATCTTTCTCAAAAGAAATAATCGTTTATCGTATTCATTAAAAATAATTTATTGCTTCCTCGTGGAGGAAGCTATGTAGTCCTTTCGTTTATAAACTTTTTAAAAATGGTGAAAACAAATTTTCCTCTATATAGAAACATGTTATATGAGATCCTGATCAATTGTCCGGATGTATGTATGTGTGTGTGTATGTGTGTGTGTGTGTGTGTGTGTGTGTATGTGTGTGTGGATCGTTTTTGTGAACACGATATCTTTAACAGGTTTTAATGGATTTGGATAAAATTTGGTAGGCTTATTTAACACATTAATCTCTCAAAAATGACGAGAGGATTTTTAAAAATACCCCAAAAAAAAAATTTTATCGTCTTTTTTCCAAAAAATTTTTTTTAATTGAAAAAATTTTTAAATCGAAAAATTTAAGGTAATATATAATATAATCGTCTTCTTCATGTCAAGATGAATCGATTGATATATATAAAGTATAGATTTGATTGAAATTTAAAGAATTAAAGAAAGTTAAAAAATCAAAAATTCTCATTTTAGCTAAAAAATGATGTATTTATTTAAATTCATGTTTATATATGAAATAATTTTATTCCCTGCATTGAAACGAATCGATTCGTATATATAAAGTTTATGTTACACTCAAAATTAATTAAAATTTTCTTTATTTTTCAAAAAATTTAATTAATTTTAAACATTTTTAATTCGAAAGTTTTTAAATCAATCAATTGAATTGGACAAATTCATTGCTTCCTTCACGAGGAAGCGAATTTTTTGCTTCACACAATGAGGAAGCATAATGTTTATGAAATAAACATAAAGGACCCCCTACTTGTTTTAAAATTATTCTAATAAACAATTTAATTATTCAGTAATTAATTAATATTCATTAGTATTAATTATTATTAATTAATATTTGTTAATACTAATTAATATTAATTAATATTTGTTAATACTAATTAATATTAATTAATAATTGTTACTAATTAATAATTTTAATTTAAAAATTTTGATAAATATAAAATCGTATTATTCAAGAAAATATTTTTCATGTGAGAAAGGTGAGAATTTTATTTGAATTAAAAATTATTTTTTCAATCAAGAATTCCATTTGTATTTCCGAAATATCAATTTTTTATAAAATAGAAAAATATTTTTTATCACAAAAGGGTTATTTTGATATATAGAAACATGAAAAGATAGTGAAGCTAGTTTTTATCAAGAGTCGCGCAGGTAGAAAAAAAGAAACAATTAAAAATGAAGAATATTTTTTAAATAAAAAACGTCCAGAGATAGAGAGAATATTGACAAGGACAAATCACAACGAAATGTGTTCAAAAAAAAAAAAAAAAAAAAAAGAATTTAAAACTAGTCATATCAGAAAGAGAACACTTAGTGCTCCATTTCTCTATAATAGAATCCTCTTTAATTTCCAACGCTCACCGAAGTTACATTTTTTTTTTCTGATTAAATGTTTCTTTGTGTTTTTTTTTTTTTCTATTAAAAACGTTTACCATGTAAGCGTTGCACTTTGTACTATATTTAAAGAATTTTTAAAGGCACGATGATTAGCGAAATAAAATTTTTTTTTTTTGCCTCTTAAAAGCGTTAATTTTCACAAGTAGAAGAAATGCTTTTTTCATAAGTCTGAATTTTTCTTTTTTTATTAATCATTAATGCCAACTCCATTGCGTATCTTTTTTTTTGTTATAAAATGTACTTTTATTGATAGGATTTTTCTTATATATCTCTAACATATAAGACTTATTTAAAAATATTTATATGTTTACGAAATACGCAATGGAGGATTTTTTTTTTATCTCTACGTAATTTATTATATATTTACAAAAAAATATAGTGCGAAGAGCCAATCATGCATGTTATGTTGTAAAGTTATATATTGTTTTTTTTTTATTATTATATATACATATATATTATTTTTATAAAATGAGTTGCAATTTCGGAGTTTGGTTGAAGAGTTGTTTTTTTTTGCACCAACTCGAAATCAACATAATATAAAGGTAGATAGCTTTTGGCTCTCCTGTGGGACCTAAAAATTCACAGTTTATTGAAAAAAAAATCTATATTTAGAAGACATTGAAAAAAAAAACCCTCGGGATTTATTTTTCATTTTCACGAGGGATGCACAAAGAAAATCTTTTGAGTGAAACTTTAAATAATTTTAATTTTTTGTTATTTAAAGAAAAAAAAAAAAAATTAAAAACCAATTTAATTTTACTGAATTTTAAATTAAAATTTTTATTTAAAGACTGATTTTCACAAAACTTATTAATTTTACTAAAAATTATATTCTAAATTTTATAATTAAAATGCAATAAAATTTAGTTACACAAGATAATTAAAAATATTTAATTATTATTTTATTAGAAATATTTTAATTAAAAAGAAAAATTTAAAGATTCACTCTAGAGATTTTCCAATCGAGTACTTATTCATCGCTAAGTTGTAAACAGTGAGGATAATATTTTAAAAGAAATTTCAAACAAAAAAACAAAGATACAAAATTTCTTTTTTTTTGATTTCTGATAATAATTTGAAAAAGTAAAGTATTTTTTTTGTTGAGATTCTTTTAAATAATGATCCTTGGAGGATAAATATAATTATTTACGTGTTTGCAAAAATTTCAGTATACGCAATAATAATATATGTTATACATATATGTAAAAAGGGTATTCTACGATTTTCACCATAAATGTATTTCTACAGAATTCTATATATTGTATACTTGAACAAGTATTTTACAAAGTTCGTGTTTTGCTTTACAAACATGAAAAGACAGATTACTGTAATTTTTATTTTTATTTTTTTTTTTTGACATTATCATGTAAAATCTTCTGCCTTCGTAACCCAAAGTCCTTTTTTTCTTATATTAGCTGACCGGAAATATTCTTGTCAGCATTATAATAATTGGACGAGGTTCACCGCCTACCTTAGAAAATAATCATGATAATGTGTATAAAGTACCTGAGAATAAGATTATATATATATTAAATATTTAATGAGGATCATAATAGTGCCGTGTATATTATAATATACAGCAATAATGGTCGTTGTTAATTCAATTTTAATCGAAATTATCGAAAATTCCTTCAACATATCTTGATATTGAAAAAAATATCTAAAAAAGATAAAAGGTAATTTGAAATTTCGATAAATTCTGATTAAATTGAAGCTTTATATATGTGCTTTTTTTGAAGATATTATAGCGTTAATAGCATAGCTATAATTTGCATGCGGTTTTGAAAAAACAAAAAACAAAAAAATAAAAAAAAAGAGATTAGTTGTAAAACGTGAGTTTTAAGTGTGTAAAAATATTTTGGATGATTTAATTGCAGTAGATAATCTTGTAAAAAAAAAATTGTACAAAAAAAAAAAAAGAAAAATCGAATTGCCCCCTTTTTTTGGGGGGGGGGAATAATTCTGATTTTCGACGAACTATGACGATATTTGACGAGAGACAAAAAAAAGATTCCAACCAATTAAACAATCGCTTTTCCAATTTAGACGTAAATAAAGAAACTTTTTCGTCAATTGATGGAGCAAAGGATTGGAATCGAATGTCCAAGTATTTTGATACTGCCACGATTTTGCGACAATTTCTTGAATCTTTTTTTTAAATATACTCCACACGAAAATCGGTGGAGACAAAAAAAAAAGATATGCTCAATAGTGATTTTTTCACTACAAGAGAGAGACTATAGTGTCAAATGTGATGAAGTTGACTTTTGGAAAAAAAACATTTTTTAGGCATTTTTTACTTTTTATAAAAAAAAAAATTCCAAAATTAGGTCATAAAATACTAATGAATTTTTTATTTGTATCAATTTCATCAATTTGCACACGACTGCGAGCAATTTGAAAAGGGGGTGAAAAAAATTTTTTTATTTATTTTTTTTCGAATTCAAAAGTCTTAGTTTTTTTTAAACTAAACAAGAAAAAATAAGACATTTGTGATTTATCACTTTCTTTAATTATGTCAATAATAGAAAACGATTAATAATAGATCGTTTTCATTATTGTCACACAGAGAAAAAATACAACTGATGCCAAATATTTTTTTTTTATTTTTAAAGTAGATTAAATAATGTAGTCTATATAGTTTCTTAATTCTCATTAATGGGATATTAGAAAATTTTACAATTTTTGGTCAGTTGATTTTTTTCTCCAATTTTTTTTTTTTTTTTTTTAATTAATTTTGTTCCCAATTTTTGGTGGGATTTATATTATAATTCTTCGAAAAAATTGATTTAGTTTCGACAAAAAAAATCAAAAAAGCAAAAAAAACAAAATATTTTATCTCAAATCTGCATGCACTTCATTTTTGTTACGTGTAGAATTTAAATATAATCTATACGTTTGTCTTCTCATTCGATATTGATTTATTATATAATAATAGAAAATAGTTTCGTTCATTTTTTTTTCATTCATCAATATTGTTCATTTATCATTTACTATCGACATCATTTTTTTCATTAATTTTATTTTTCGTTATAACAAAACATACGATTTACTAACATTAAAATATAGTTTTTGGTTATGACATTATTTTCCTTTCTAAAAGGAAAAGGCCGCTATGTTTTTTTTGGAAACGTATGATAATAAAATTTGTTTCAAAAAAAAAAGAAAAATTGTTTTTATTCCCTGTGTTTTTGTCCTTTTAATGAAAATCCTACAAAATAAAAATATAATAAAATTACAGACACAGAGATCTATCTTACTGACTGATGATAAAGCAGCTGTTTTTCTTTGCAAATAGGAATATAAAAAATTACCGACATAGAAATCTACCTTACCGACTGATGGTAAAACAGGTTTTTAAAATATAAAAAATTACCGACATAGAAATCTACCTTACTGACTGATGGTAAAACATGTTTTTTTGGAAAATAAAGATATAAAAAATTACCGATATAGAAATCTACCTTACGAACTGATGGTAAAACAGTTTTTTTTTTGAAAATGAGAATGTGCCATTCCATGAGTTTTTTTTAGCACTTTTCGGAGTAACCTTTCCAAATTAAATGAAACATTACTACTACTACTACTACTACTACTAAATTTACCTTACCGACTGATGGTAAAACAGGTTTTAAAAAATAAAGATATAAAAAATTATCGACAAAGAAATCGACATTACCAACTGATGGTGATGGCAAATATAGCAGACGTTTCATAATAAATAAAATAAAAAAAAGAAAACAAACATTGTTTAATAAATTGTGAGTTAACTATTTTCTAGTACATTATTTTTCTTGTGTGGTATTAAAGCGTGAAAAATAAGGAAAATTTTGATCTTTAAACTAATTTATTTGGAGCAGCAGGAAAAAAGTGAATTTTTTTCATTATTTATTGTTGTATTTTTTAAATAAACGTTTTTACTTAAAAAGTGATTATTTTGGACCTTTATATTAATAAATATTATAAAAAAAATGTTTCATTTAATTTGGAAAGGTTACTCCGAAAAGTGGTAAAAAAAACTCATGGAATGGCACGAATATAAAAAATTACCGACACAGAAATCTACCTTACCGACTAATGGTAAGACAGTTTTATTTTCTTTTTTCAAAAAATCTGTTTTACCCTCAGTCGATAAGATAGATTTCTATGTCGGTAAATCTTATATAATTATTTAAAAAAGAAAACAGTTTAAGTATCAGTCGGTAAGGTAGATTTCTATGTCGGTAATTTTTTATATTCTTATTTTCAACAAACTGTTTTACCATAAATAAAATTTGACAAATTTTTCTTTGATACAAAGAAAATTTTTTTGTTTATGTATTTTAAAATTATTTCATGTAAGGAAATTTTTTTTTTTTTATGAATATTTGATTAAAATAAAATTTGTTATATAAAATCACTTGAAATTTTGTAGGAGGTTTATATATTGGTATATTGAAAGAAGAAAAAGAAAAAGTAGAAGAAGAAGAAGAAGAAGAGTTTCGAATAAGCGACATTTGAATGCAGAGAATTGAGAGGGGTTAAGAGTACTTAACGTAGTTAAGGTTGATTTCAAGAGCGTAATGCCGACCATTTCAGCTTGAGCAATAATGATTATCCAACGATTGATACAGGTAAGATGATTGCGCCGTTCCCGAGCTCGATTGTAGCGGCCCCTATAGTGAGATCTGGTCAAAGGGCACAGCCGCTATATTATTAGACTCACACCTGTGTACCGACACAGGAAGAGAACACTGTAAAGAGTCCCACTGTATCTGAGCCCAATTGTTTCGTACGACTTTTTAACTTTAATAGTCCCCAAGCACAAATCAACTTGATTTCATATTACAATTTAATATACCAATAAATATATATATATATAAAATAAAGTTTATATTTCATT